ATTGCAGTGTCGTGACCACCTTATGGGACCAAACTATAAACTATACATTCTCAGAGGCAATTTAAAATGAAATAAATTTCATTTGATACAAATCGTTATCAGGTTCCTCCACGGGAAATAACAACCCTTGAAAATGTGCTCCACTTCCAACGTTTAGTCTAAATATAAGTCTGTAAGGCACGGGTTCGATTCCCGTTGGAATTTGAATTTTTTAAGGCGTCTTTGCTGCAATTGCTAAATTTACAGATCACCCACGAGAATCATGGCTTTATTTGATATTTCATGTGGATGACTTGGCAATTTGCGGTCCATATCAAACTTCCCCGTCCTTAAAAACAATCCTTTCTGAATGGGTCATATTCACGACAGCTATGGGTATCTTTTTTAAGTTAATGTAATATTGCACTTAACGGCTGACAGACGGCTAGATGAAGACTGCAATTACCTCAATGATCCTTCGTACACTGTACGTAATGGGAAACAGCAATGACACTAATTAAATCAAAATCTTTTGTTTTAAGGACGAATGATACTAAGCGCCGACTTCCTCTCAAATGCGTCGAAAATGGCGGCTTAAAATTTCAATTTTTACTCATTAATCTGCCGGAAATCTGTAAATTTTCAAATTAAGCACACCCTATTCAATTCTAGCATCTTCCAAAGTTTCATTTACCCTTCTACTTTTTCAGCTGAGAAAATTTTTGTCAAAAGATGTAAAAAAGACTGATAATATAACAATGATATTATAGACTTTTAAATAGATCCGGCCCACACATTTGTGCCGTACCTCAAGTCTTAAAAACTTTCGTAACTGTCACAATTTCATGAGGTTTTTTTGCCAGACAAGCAAGTCGCCTGAAACTGCCTTTGGATTTCGCTGCTCAGACAATTTGTATCATGCTTTTTCCTGCCATCGGAATTGTGTTTTCTGAAGAAAGATTTTAGTTAAGTGTTGGTAGCCAGTTTGGAGAATAGAAGGGTCAGTTCTCTATCGTTTTCATAGGGTAATTGCTATTTACAAAATAAGACAACAGATAAGAACGGAGATTAAGAAATAGACTTCATACCTCTGAAGGGGTTCTCCATGTAAAAGGCGCCCTCCTGTGGCTGAAAATTCAAATGTCCCACGATCTGAGTGCGGTTGTTCAGCTCACAAATTTTCGTCTTTTCATAAAAATTAAAGCTCTGACATCGTCTGTCTCCTTTACACTGGTAATAACACGCAAACATGTTCTGGACAACAAATGATGCGTAATTGTGTTTCACGAGAACAACTCCTTTGATAGATGATACACAGTTCTCACCGCTTTGCAAACTGTCGCTAGTAACATTTGCGATGTTGTGCAAAATCACGATGAAACGACTAACTATGCATAAAAGCGACAATAGGCGAAACCTTGTGCGGCTAACCTGCATGTGAAAAGATAAACGAACATTTAAAAGCAGGTAAAATGCTACAATTGTCATACGGTTTACACAATAACTCTTAATGTCTTAAAAAAAAATGTTTACCAAAATTAGCTGTTATTGTAACAAACCAACAGTAATCTGCACGATTCTCACCTCCGTTTTGTGATTCTGTTTCATCTTTCGTCAATCGTTGGCAAAATCCTTGCTCAGGTTCCCGACAGCGAGCGCCAAGAATACGTGAGTACTGTCAGAAATGTGGTTAAATTTTGCTCTCTTATTCGCCAGGGACAGATTTCCGTTGCCCTTAATTGCTAACACTCCGATTACATCCGTGTTCTTGACGCCAGCCTCTAATAAATTAGCTGTTGAATAAAGCTTTCACTAATAAGCCGCCTAACAGTAAATTTGGTTGGCTTGTTAGTCGATGTGTTTGCTCATTTCAAGCTATAAGTAGTAAAGTAGGGCGCAACTCTCTTCTGGGTTTTTTTTTTTTTTTTTCCAACAAAATATGCGCCAGTTTCAACAGCAGTCACAGTGTGTTTTTCTAGCCTTTCATTGCAACACCTTACAACCTGCTTTGCGTCACATATTATTACAAACAATCTTCCTTTTATTTATTCTTGTGCAGAGAGATTTTGATAACAAAATTTTGACTTCTTTGAGTGCATTTGTCATTAGCCGCAGAGGTAAAAACAATCGGCTCAATAATAATTTATTTTGCAAGCATTACTGATTCAGAGTCTACGGTGCCTCTTTTATCCTTTTAATTTTTTTTTTTCAGAAAGCAGATCACCAAAATCAGCGTGAATCAATTGGTTTTATCTTCTTTAAATGGTTTATTTTCGTTGCTTGACGCACAAATTTAAGTTTTCTTCACTGCCGCCATAGGAAACAGTATTAGTTACCAACAATAATCAACGTACGTGCGCGATTACCATCGACTTATCAACGAATTTCAATGTAAAATAAACATTTTAATTTCGCTGTTGCCTGTTCACCGCAGATTGATCTGTGGGACGTGGGAAAACAAAAAATACACCTGCCGAACAAAGACCAAGTAAGAAATAAGAATTATTTATCCTATCTTGAAAAATGACAACCCTCGCATTTGATTTGAAAGGGAAAATCGATCCTCGCATCAAGAAAACAATAAATTGTGGTCATTTGCTCAATTTCTTTTTTTTTCTTTTATCTGGTTCCTATTGTACTGTATCGCTCGTGTTCCCAGTTACATTGTATGTAGGGACAGTACTACAATAAGTTGCAGGAGCAGATACATCCGTATAAACATTGATATCACGGAAGACTGTCGCTGGGCTCTCGGCTACACGGGCCGAAAATTTGAATATGAAACCGTGAGATAAAATTACAAATCGAACGTGCGTGATGTCGACTTTTGTTGACGTATATACTTAAATCAAAATTTTGGCAAATCATAACTGTTTTTTACATCTTATTCTTATTGTTTTTTACAACTTCTTGCTGTCTCCATTTGTGTGCATTATAGGCTATGATTTTTAAAATTCAATTATTTAAGGTTTCTTGTACTCTTTAATATTTGTGCATGAGCTCTTTGAAAGTTTCAACCTCACAATAATAATATTTTGAAATTGTTTTTTTTCCCTTCCGCCTCAATTTGCCACAACGCTATTTTTCGGGTAGGGAATAGTGTATCCTGAATGCCATTTAAGTGATGAAAAACTTGAATTTGAACTTGAAGTTTAGTAGTGACAAAGATTGCAAGCGTTCTGGATAAATTAAATGTATCAGTTTTTATTTTACTGCGACATAGGTTCATGTTTTTATCAAAAAAATATTTCCTCGTGTATAATCAAGTACTTTCATTCAATTTTACTCGACTTACGACGTTATTAACTGGATTATTAACTTCTTACTAACCGAGCGCGAGGACCGCACTGGTGTGATTATTGGCCCGAGGTCGTAACAGTGCGGACCAAGCGCAGCGAGTGTCATACAGGAACGACCGAGGACCAATGTTCCTAGCTCAGTACGGTTCGAGCAATTGGAATAAACTTGATGTTTATCTGAATTTTCCGGCTTCCGAGAACAAAAAGACACGGCTTATGGCCATTTCCGTGCAAAATAAAATGAAATACAGACTAAGTAAGATCAAACATGAAGCACAAATTTACCTCATGACTACCTTGCCATATAAGAAATACTTTTAACGAGTTAAAATTGGTGATCCAGGTTGGTCGCTGCTGACTATGTGTCAAGAACTGTTCCACCGATTTTCAATGCTACCAAATATTTAGTAGTGAATTAGCGCAAATATATCTTTTTTCACCTAGGAAGGTTATTTTTTTAGTCCTAGGTATATGATTTTATTAATGCGTGTTTGAGTGGTTTACAGACTTCTGGAGTGTTCTCCCAACATCCCAAGTAGTTTACTGCGCCGGTAAAGCCGATAGGAAGTGTAGTTTATTGCTTTTATGACACAGATATGAGTGAAGTTTTTCAGGGAGAATTATGAATTGATCCTTATTTTGCGATCAAGTTGTTGATTCTTATAAAAGCCGTCAAAACAAGGAAATGTTGACCAGAGAAATTAAGGCTGAAATTCATTTATTAATAAATGAACGCAATGGCCGGGTACCCAACCAGAAATTTTTACTTTTATACTTAAAAGGTCAGTTGTATTTATGAAATTAATTTTCACTGCGAGGGCTTAACTCTAAAAAATTAGATAAAGTCATTAGACCGCACTAAGACAAAAGCAGCAAAATCGAAAGAAAACAACATCGAGCCGTGTACACTTGTTTACTCGCGGTACACTATTTTCTCTCAACACAATATTTTTTTCCTATCGCCTATGACTAAATAAAAGCTCTCACCGAGTCCTCGTTAAATTTTATAGAAAGTATTACATACACTAAAACTTGGCAAAAACTATTCAATAAAAGTTGAAATCGCGGACAACAAACCATAAATCTTGAGTTTAACGGCTTTCTCTTTGCAAGCGGTTGATTTTCAATTAATTCCTGAATGAAGATCCGGTAGGTTTGTCGCTTCAATTTTCTTAAAGCAAAAACATGGGAAATTTTCCTTCCCAGTGAGCAGCTTAAGGAAGGCTAGTCTAAAATTTATGAAGTATTTTCTCTTCAGAACGTAGAGGCCTGGAAAAGCACAAACAGTTAGTTACACTGCATTTAAGTGCCGCTCGCGCTAAGAGCGGTCCCCTCGACTTCCCGTCGTAGCTCTGAAAAAAAAAACACGTTAAAAATTTATAATGATAACATGCTGAAATATGGCTGTCAATGGTTACACAACACATATGGCATAATATCGTGTGTTGCCATATAAAGACTGCATAAAATTCACTTTAAGTCTAATTGGAGAAGAGGCGAATGATTTTATACAAAATACATTGTCTTGCCAGAATCCCGCAAAAATCTCCCTCAGTTTCGTTTCTAGTTATTCTTGTCTTTCGTCTTTTCCCTTTTTCTTATCATTCATTTCTAATCATTCGTTGTGAATTTGCACCGAAATTCTGACTTGCCGAGAAAAACCCGCTTTGTAGGTTTGGAACAGGTATGAAACAAGTCAAGTCATAAGGCAAGGTGGCCTGTTTACCTCTACACTGTTAACATTTTGCAACTAATGATTTTCCATCTCATGCATATTTTCATTCGCCGTCCCTCGTCATCATAATTTTAAGAAGAAATTTAGAATCTTGCAAGTTTTTTTTTGGCATGCTTAACTAAAAATCCCAGCTTTTTATGTAACTAGGCAAGTTTTAGCAGTTTTTAGAAAAAGATTCCGATGGCTCAAGGCAATGTTTATTACTCGAGACGTTCGCACTTCGTGAAAGCATCACACTTGGTCACTGATTAGCCTCCTCAGACGATGATTCTCATCCTCCAAAGCGTATATCTTCACTCGGATACGCAGATTTTCCTCCTCAAAGAAAGTCGCCTAAAGCAAGTTTTGGAAGTTTTCAAAAAATGTTCCGATGGCTTAAAGCAATGTTTGTTACTCAAGAAGTTCGCACTTGGTGAAAGCATCACACTTGGTTACTGATTAGCCTCCTCAGACGATGATTCTCATCCTCCAAGGCGTTTATCTTTGCTCGGATACGCAGATTTTCCTCCTCAAAGAAAGTCGCCCTTTTCTGCGTCTGCTTCTCTCTCAATCGTCGCGCGTCACGTGACCTCTTTGCTGAAAGGTTGTTTTTCCTTCTTCGTTCCCAGTAACCTTCTTCTCTCATAGCTAAGATGAACTTATCTTCGGATTGTACCCCTTCTTCGTCTTGCCGTGTAGTTTTACCAGTGCATAGTTCCATTTTCTTCTCTTCCATCCCATTGTTCAAAAATACACTCTTTTCTGTTGAAATGTTTGCAGTCTCATTGTTAATAGGTGGTGGTTCTTGTGCAGATGGGCTCGGGCTTCCTGATGAATCCTCTTTTTTATCAAGTTTAGAGGCAGGAGCAGTTACATTTGTAGAATAAAGGGATGTTAAGTATGGGTATTTCACATCCACAGATTGCCGACGTTGCTGTTTTGGTGAAAAGAGTGGCGATTGGCGTGATAGACCTTCGCTGAACATACTCATCCTGGCAAATTTATCAAACTGAGTTTGGCTTCTCCACATTCCTGGATGGTAGGTCTGGCCATGTCTTGGTGGAAACAGGCTCGATCTTTTGAAGGGAAATGCAAATGGATCGTTTACGTCCCAAACGCGTACAGAGTACTCATTCGATGTCAAAAGCTTTTGATACTGTAAAGAAACACTAGGGAAGCTTTCGCGAGCTGTTACAGATCCTCGGCTTTCCATCTTCGGAGGTCGATGGGTTGTGCGTTAGTTCAGTGCGTGTCTGTTCTTTTTCATTTACATTTCTGTGTGTTATTACAGTTTATTTTATCCTTCCCGTCAAATAAATAAATCTCGGTAAACAAGAAGCATCCGAGAGACATCTGCTTGTTCGCTTTTGTGTGAAAACCATTGAGTAGCAGAGCAAAGTTTACATGGAGTTTGTTTTGGTTAGAAGTTTTCCTATGTCCTGAACTCGGTCCAACTGGGCGTTACTTGTTATCGTGCACACCCAGGTGTTGCAGTCTATTTCTCTTCAAATTTACACGTTTGCCAGGGTAGGAATTTGGTTTCCGAGGTTAGGCTTTGCGATTGGAGTACGCAAAGAATCTGCAAGGCAAAATTCGGCTGGAGGTACCACTACTGCTGTCACTACTGTTGTCACCACTACATTTGAGCTTGTCAACATCAAATCTTCAAAAAAACAAAAATGGACAAAAACGAATGACCGGTTGTTGATTATTGCTCTGCTTTCACCTGGGGCAATATTGATCGCTAGGATTCTTAGAAGTTATGTTTCTTTTTTTTTACCTCCACGAGGCACAGCGGCGTGGCAAATATTTGTGATACCATTAGAGATTTTCAAGCAAACTTGTTAAATATAAAGCTTGCCTCAAATTGATCGATAATATTTTATTTGACAGATCCAAAATTTTCTTATGACCATATTTCGCCGCTGCTCAACGATAAGAAAAAATGAAAAGAAAATAATGGAAATGTTGGTGAAATATATTGCTAATGTTTAAATTCAAAACAGAGAAAGATGGCTAACGAAGACGGGGTGATGGTAAGGCAACTGTGAGACATAGAGGCTACAGAATTTAGTAGTGACTGTCTTATATAGACTTCACTTAACACTAGAAACTACACGTAACATCCAGAGCGGAGTGGCTGACCGTGAAAACGTAACTCTGTTCCAAAAGGCCTGAAGCGGAAATTGCTTGGGTTGAGAATTTATAGTTTTTGGGGGAATTTCAAAAAACATGTAAATGTAAGTGCTTACGTACGATATTTCCGCACGAGTTTGTTTTCACCACACCCTGGTAGATCAAAATGCAATGAATGGAAGAGCCAAAGTGTGTTTATCAATGCTTCCCCATTTGAAATTCCCAGGGGGCTTTTTTTGTAGAGAATAATGATCTCATCATCGCTTATGGCCTGTGCTGCATTAGGTCTATTACCTTTACCCTCCTTTTTAAGTTACTTGTTTTAAGCTTCAATGAGTAGCTTCACATCTCTTGTCGTCTCAGCTCGCTTTTTTTTTGTTTTGTTGCTCGATAATATAATCTTGTACTAATATAATTCTTGTACTTTTCTAAAAGTACAAGTATTTTTGTAATTTCGGTACGAAACTTTTCTCGCTATGAATGTTTGCACGCAAGGACTTGAAGTTGTTGAATGAAATCAATGGTATGTTTTGACAAGTCTCTCCTGATTGGACGAAACGCTTTACGCACGTGTGAGAAGGCCATTTCGCTGTTGTGATCGGCTATCAGAATTTTTAGGTGGATTTTCTAATGAAGAAAACAGTGAGTAAATCTCAGTATATATGTGATAAAGTTGGGTTCACAATGCTTATCATTATTTTCTAGAAATCTCGTTTATTTTACTTTTTTTTCTATAGACCTTTGTAGCTTACTTTGAGCGTGGCGTTTAAACCAATTTCTCTGAGACAAGTTAATTCACCAAATTGTGTAGGCCAAACAAAGTGTTTTTCCTATGCAGTTCAATTGTTAATCGAGACTACAGACGCAGGTGTCACTCAGCTGCTTCTTGTTTCCTAAATTTGTGTCAACACTGAAGTCTCCTGCAACTTTGTTGACTCCCAGTGAGAATTGGAAGCCAGAATTTCAAAGTGCGACTCGCAAAAGCTGGGATAAAAGCGACATTAAGCAGGATGTTTGCGGCAACGACAAACGGCAAAAATGAGCCCTGTTTTTTTGTATTTCTCACTTTTCTTATAATCCCGAAATCAAACCGATAGAAATACGCTAAAAAATTCTCTGGTTCTCAAATATTTTACATTGAGTGTAAAAATTGCCAGAGGTAGAGGGCAAGAAGTTCAGTTTTTGTCTTTAGCCGTTTTTCCTAAATGTTGTATTGTGTTTGATCTCTCTTAGATTATTATTTACTTGCAGAGACGTTCAACTAAACAAACAAGTCTGCAGGGGCCCAATAAAATTCCTTCTATGAATTCGGCCGAAGGGTATCGGCGAGAGCTAACCCATTTGTCATCTGCTCTCAGCCGTTTACGATTTCAATTATTCGACGTTTTTAATGAAGAAAACATCTCGGAAAGGTGGGGATCAACTCAGACTGCTTTTTTGCCAGTTGTTGCGTCTGGAAAACTGACTCTTTAATGCTCTTCTGTTGATAGGGAGACACAAACGGTGAGCCAGTTTGAATATTTCGACTATATTTTATTGCGTTTGACGTAAGAGAACGCATACTGGTTATTTTGTTGAATCTATCCTGTGGGTTTTATAATTCCCTGTGAATATCGTTCATCTTGACTGGCTTCAGTCCTGGATGCCATGGTAGGATCTGCAGAAATATTGTAACCTCTTGATCAAAAGAAATGAGTTAACACGAATCAGAACTGTGAGCCATGTCGCCTTAAACTTTTACGAAGCTACATCGAACGCACTTTACTAATCCATCATCATTTCTAGTTTTCATGTCCCTATCTTTGTCCCCTATTTAACCAAGATGACAAATTGCATGCTTTGCGAATATTTTTCCAAGCAAGGCATTCTAGTCCTTCTTATTTAAGACAATTTCCTGAAAGTTAGAAAACCCAGCTTGTCAGGACATTAGGCAGGAACACCGAGGAAGACATCGATTTGCAGAAATTGTATTTCTAGCTAGAGAAATCCATCTGCTGGATGTGTTTATCTTTTCTAACAGTGGCACATCGCAACTTCGACATAACGTGAGTGAGCAGTGTTGAGTACTAAATGGAACATTGAATAAGTTGTCGAGGAAGTTTCTGTTCTCAGACAACGCAAATTTTGGCGGTTCTACGTTGTTGTTTTTTTAGAGGACGGCCAAAAAATGCACAAAGTTTTAAAGTGCACATACTGAGCTATTGTTCTACCCATTAAATCTTTTGTTTTCTCGCGTCGTTTTTACCCTTGCCGTTGTCGCGCAGGCAGACCATACTATTTGTTTGTGGTTAATACGAGTTGACGTTTGACAAACAAAATATATGAGGGTTACGAATAAAGCTCTGAAAATTGCATATCTAAATTACATTTCGGTCTGAATATCTCAATAAAGTTCATTGAAATTTTAATGGACGCATTTGTGAAATTTTTCAGCCTTCACAGGCCGTTTGAAGCGTATTTTTACGAAATTTGTTTCGGCCGGAGGCCGCTAAGAGAAGAAAGGTGGACAAGGCTTGCAACTTGGTGGCTGCCAGCTATACGACCTCCTCCACTCCAAATTAGAATGAACGCTAGAAAAAAAAATCTCTCCTAACTAGCGACGGTTGTTGATCGCTGAAATGTTGCTTATTCTCCCCGCTACATTTGAGCTTCATCCCTTCAGGAATTTCCGAGAAAATCGGTCTTGAAATGATGAGCTTGACTTTCTTAATATGATCGGGGCCAAACTCGGCGACCAAAAGAATTCGAAGCATGCAGGCCGTTTCAAATTTACCATACAGTGCAGCAACTTGCCGTGTCAGTCCACTGCGGTTCAAAACCAAGCCAAGCGCTTACGTTATAAATTATTCTGTCTTTAGATTATACAAAAACAAGGCAAAAATTGTCGATTATGCGTTGTTTACGCAATGAAATATTGTCGGAAAAGTGCCCTCTGTCTCAACCAATCAGCATTTAGCAATTTTGTCCTTTATGTTCTAAGTGTTAAAAAATTTCTTGCGCATAAAAATTGGTATGTCAGAAGTCAATTTAGATCTACAAAAAAAAAAAACAAAAAAAAAAAACTTAAACTCGCTTTAAAGAGTTTCACAGAGTGGATTAAGGAGTTTTCGTAACGGCCACGAGCAGATTGGTTCTTGGGAGCGTACATTTGGAAGAAAGAAATTCTGATCCCAATAACATGGCGTTGTATTTGGATTTACCACTGCAGCAGTAAACGACTCATCTTTCCTCTTCTAAACGAAAAACCACAAAAACAGACAAACAGTCATGCAAAGCACAATCGCCACTTTTCGAGTCAAGCCTTTATTCACTTAAAACACGAGATAAATTTTACAGTTCTTATCAATTTCATTTTTTGTTGTTATTGTTCTTACGGCACGAAAAAGAAGTAGCCAACTCCGTGACGAAGACCTATCATAAACCCTTATTATTACAAATATTCTAAAACCTAAGTTGTTAGAAATAGGTAGACTTAATAAGATTCTTGCCTATGAAAATGGGAAGGTGTTACTAGTGACTGGAACACTAAAAATTATCCTGGTGTAGTCTGCATATGAATGTTTGAAGAGGAACTACAGTTCAACTTAAAATCTTGCCAAGCGAGCGTTATGAAGTGAACTGGTTACAACGGACTTCTGCATCAGTGGGTTAGTTTAGTTGTTTTGTTCATTAAACTAATTTCAAAGTTCCCTTTCGACCTAGAAGGTGCATTAGCTGGCAGTTCTTTGGGGTGCTTTATTATAGACGCAGTTTCCTATTACCCGGGGGGTAATAGGAGTTCTCCTCTGGTGGTAGTCATCTTGGAAGATTGGAATTTCCAAGAAGCTCTTTGTGAAATAAGTTTGTAATTTTTACGTGGCAAGATCAGTCATAAATTTCAGTGGTAAACTTTGGCCTTTCCCCGATTCAAAGGGCCAGTTGTCATTTTATGAACTGTACGTTTAGTAGCGCTACTTCGAACCTTTTCCGTACCACTTCAAACTACATTCAGTATAATCTTAACCTACCAGTATTTCACAAGTGCACGCAACCCATAACATTATTTACACTCAAGATATTAACATAACTCTATGTACATAACTTTTGTTTTTGTATCTTACCTAGACATAAAACCACCTGGTATTTGACTTTCTCCCTCCCAGTCTCCACTAAGGAGACAATGAGAAGTTTTCTTTTGGTTACCGAGTCCTTCAACGTGTTTTTGACTTGCTTTCAAAATTTATGACACTGATTACACGGACGATAGGAGAGAAGGTTGGACTCCTTAGCTGCTGATTTCTCCGTTTTCAACCGAAACATTTTCAACGTCAACAAATTCGTCTTCAGAAGTTGCGCTTTGTTTTTCGTCGTGCATATCGACAGCTAGGGCATTCCAAGCCGCCAAATACAATTCATGGGGAAGAAGTCGAGTCCCTTCTGTTGAACAAATATCAGCGAATTAGATCTTAGTTGAAATTGAGAAGCCAGTTTAACTTGAAAGCATTTAATGTTCCCAGTGATGCGTTAGACACCTTAAGATCGATGTTTACTGCGGACCAGACTTCGGCCTCAGGTTGGCGGGAATTTTTTCACGCTTTCGACGGCAAGGGGTACGTTTTGCATGAGTCATTTGCCCCAGCTTTTATATGCATGAATGTTTTATTATCCCACGTGTACCTGTCACAGATATAAAAATCGATTCTGTCTCTCATTTCATATGGATTTTGATATCAAAAAACGAATAGTTTTGTTTTTACAAGGTTTGAAAAAACAACTGCTGCTTAACCTTAAAAATCCAATATGGCGACTTTAAAACACATGTTCAATATCGACTCTTAAGAGGTATACCGAAAAAAGCAAACAGAAAACAGTCAACGACAAACTTAAAAATATGGTTTGCGTCGTGCATTAAACTTTGATCTGAAGGTGCCCAACGATTTCATGAGGTGGGAAGCTTACTATGCCAGGTTCTGGTCATTAAAGGGTGAGTGAGAACTGATATGTGATTGATCGTCTATCCCTAAGATCCCTGTACTCTGAAATACGCAACAACTGTAATTTTCAAGGGGGAAAAGCAAGGCTGCACGAAGTTGAAAAAAATTTAAAGTATTAGTTTTCCTTCTTACTGCCCTGGTAGGCGTATTCTGTTTGTAGAACGCTCGAAGGTGTCGCAGCCTTCCCTCTTCAAAGTAGCAATTCGCTTTTTATTGAGTATAATAATGTACCTTGATTGCACTTGCTTGCAACAAGACTCTCGAACGCTGGGAAGTTTGAGTTTGCACGAGGAGCTACCATAGGTTTCTCCTCAGATTTAGCATCGCCAGGGGGGTTCAACATTTCATCCACCATCTAGCGAAATAAAAGCGTAACCACGTTAAAAAAAAAAAAAAAAAAATGATGTGCGATTAGTTACCAGATCCACGCACTTATTTGAGGAGACGGGGTTGCAAGACCTAAATACCAAGTGGACCTCTTACAAGAATCAGCGAGTATACAGCGGCTCGATCTCTCAGCCCTGAAACCATATATAACTAATAAAAATTGTCTTCAAATCACAGACGCCGCCATTTTAAATCTTCCCAAGTAGCCGAGCTTCATTCTTATGCCGTAACAAAGACTCACCCCCTACTCCCCTCGTTCGTTTTTCACTTCTCATGGCAATGGTTTGAGATCGGTCACGCGCTATACAAAAGCGAGTATACAAAAGAGCAGCCATGACACCATGAACTATTCTTGGCGATAACGGAGAAGCGGCTGTATTGTGGATCGCGCATTTTACTTTGGCGCGTGAGGCCAGGTTACCGATTCTTTTTGAACATGATGACGTCCATAGCGTAAATTTCAGTGCATTCTCAGAAATATTATGTAAGGTTTGGCTATTCTTTGAAATCTGAAGACATGCTTTTACATGGCGCAGATAATAACCATGTGATTTGATTGATTTTCCTCGCTAAATACAAAAACTGAAACTAAGAATTTAAATGTCTGTCAAATTCAGGTTTATTTGTCACGAGCGTGAGAGAAATAATAGACTTCCGCTTTGATAGTCAACTGCTTTACCCTCAAAGTACGCGTCAAGAAAACCATTATTTAACGGTTGCTCATATACGTTATCAGTTGATAATGCTGAATTACCCTGTTACACTCTCCCACCAACGCAGCAACACAGTTTCTTTAGAAACTTACCCCCTTCAAAGATGTTACATACCTCAACTATTACTCTTTCAAATGACCCAAGTGCCTCAGTCTCTGCAAATATACATTGTCAGAAATTATGTCAGTGCATTCTAAATGTGGATCAGTTTTAGTCGACAGGCCTACACATTGTCATTCGATGGGCGTCTTCGGAAATTAACTAATTAAGTACCTTAAGCAATCACGACAGCATCGCCGAGAGAGACGTCGATTGAAAAACTACTTTTTATTTTTAGTTAGAATTTCCCAAATGGCTGGAGGTTTTTACTGTCTCTTGGATACACCTTTACTTCAGAGTAACGCGTGTGAAAAGCTTCTGTTCTCAGACCACGCAAATTTTAGTGATTTCATGTTTCTGTTTTGCAGAGAACGGCTACAAAATGAACAAAGTGCAGAGGACGGCTGCGAAATGTACAAAGTTTGAAATTCACGTGTTGAGCTATTGTTCAGGTTATTAGATCTTGTGTTTTGCCACGTCCTCGTTGCTGTCTTCGTCGTAGTTTGCTTAAAGTCTCTGATTGACTATTTGGCACGCAGACAGTCTACCTGCAGTTTCCTAATCACAGTCCAAGTCTCTTCCGAGAACATATCACATGCGCTAAAGGCCCGCATTTTAAATTGTCGCGAAATCTTTCAAGCATTAGAAATGTTATTGTGAGTTGTTTACAAATGGAGAGTACGCTAACTAGTATAAGGTTGAAGTATTGCACTTGCAATTTGTGCTCAGAATTAAAGACATCCGAATAATCAGGCTAACATGAGGTAACAGTCAAACCACATGTTTCCAAGAGTCTATCTTGAAAGACAAACACGAGCGCTCAAGTAAGACTAAAAAATTAATGCTTACTTTCAGTAGGTTAGCTGAAATATCTGTTAAAAATAGCTCGAAAATTATCCATTCCAGTTGACCACAGAATTATTAGGATAATTTTTTATTTATTTGTCTCTGCAAAATGTCTGGGCAGTTATGATCGTCATTAAAATTCTTAGAATCCAATTTCCAGATCACTTTCGCTTCGTTTGTTTCTTTGCTTTATTATACGTAATTTTTCTCTAAACAAAGGCTTAGTCCGGTGTATTCAAGTGGTTTTGAGGTAATAGCGCCAAAATAGAAATGATTATGTAACGTTTTTTGAATTTAGCTTCTTTCGTCGAATATTTTTCAAAGGAAATGAGTTTTAATTGCTTTCTTCAATTTGGAACATAATTCACATAAGGGTTTCCAGGATGTCTTAAACTGATATCGTAAGCGTCTGAAATCAGTTGTTGGCGCTCTCTTATGTAGTTTCGTATCGGATGTTTTTCCAAAAGAAACCGCTTTGTGTTGCATCTTGATCTATAAACGTGGAAACCTTTCGGTTTTGAGGGCAAAGGTAAACACTAGAAAAATGTAAATTAGATCAGGGTTTGTTTTGACGCGTTCAGCTTTCAACGACCTTTCTTGGAATCATCAAGGCAAATATATGAGGTCGATCACGCGGAAAGCTATAAATAGTGAACAGTATGTGGGCGGTCGAGCGTGGCATCCACGCATCATGTGACA